AGTCCACGGGACTTCCTCCCTCGTTTCAGGTGAAAACGTGCTGAGCTTTTGTCCATCATATGATGGACATGATTAGAGCTGGGTGTCATTCTTGTAAAAGTGTCACGTTAACACTAAAGCAAGAACACTATCCGACTCTATTTTACTTCTTATATAGACTCAATCGAGCCAAAAAATTAAAAATTTAAAACCTAGATAGATCGATATAGATTGGTTTGGATAATTTTCTTTTATACAGGTTCTGTTATTTTTGTTTGATTGTATGAGTATGTATATTTGTGTATGTTAGCGTCTATATGCAATACGGTTCATAAATCAAACTTGTCAAAGGTTAAATCTCCTGTTCTGATCCTCAAGACCTAATAACCCAAGAGAAAATCTTTGACCGAGACTGCCTAAGTCCGTAAATATGTATGGTTGAGATAATGAAATATGAGCTTGTAAGCATGATAATCAAGTTACGAAACCACTTGTCCTAACCTTTCAGTCAAGGGTCATTAACGTGGTTACTAAACTTGATTATCATGCTTAAAAGCTCATATTTCATTATCTCAACCATACATATTTACGGACTTTGGCAGTCTCGGTCAAAGATTTTTTCTTGGGTTATTAGGTCTTGAGAATCAGAACTGGAGATTTAACTTTTGACAAGTCTGATTTAGGAACCGTATTCAATATAGACGCTAACACGCGCAAATATACATACTCATACAATCGAGCAAAAATAACAGAACCAGTATGAAAGAAAATAAACCAAACCACTCTATATCGATCTGAGTTTTTAATTTATTTTTGGTTTGATTGAGTCTATATAAGAAGTAAGATAGAGCCGGATAGTGTTCTTGCTTTAGTGCTAACGTGAGACCTTTACATGAATGACACCCATCTCTGATGATGTCCATCATATGATGGACGAAAGCTCAGCAAGTTTTCACCCGAAACGAGGGAGAAGGTCTCGTGGACTGCGTCAACATGAATATCGTATAAAAGCCAAACGGCTGCAGTACAACGAGATTCATCCGTTCTAATCTGGGGAGATTGTCCAACGAATCTCTTCTTCATACACTTCCATTCGAAATGAAGGTCCACCTAACAATGTTATCTCAGGAGATTCATCGAAACCAACTTTCTCTTCCTATCTACATAAATGCTATTTTAAAGGGTACTGTTGCACCTTGCTATTTCTGCGATTAAAAATAACTTAAAAATTCTGCGCTGGGAGATTTCGTAGAAATGGCTTCTGGGTCATGATCAAGTTGATTTGGACAGATTTCCTCAATAAGCATCAAGTGTGTTCGCATTGGTTTCGCGGACCTGGTTCTAGAGCAGAGGCCACGACCATGAATGGGTTAGGAAATGCTGCAAGATCCAATCTACCAGCTGTGAGAAAAGTGCAAGATTGGAGCAAGGAATTTCATAGAACTGTCTGCTGGTCTGGCTTACTTTATTAATAAATGGTAGCGTTGTATCAGTAAAATTGAGGGGTCTAGATTCCTGTATTAATATTACCTTTCTTGTAAATGCACAAGGATCGAAAGTACCTTTAAGCGTTTAGTTGGGCAAGCAAAATATAATTCCTGCCAAGGAATCCTTACAAAAGCGCTTTCTCCAAAAGATTCGTAACCGCCTCTTCTAGAAAGCAGAAGCAGCCAAATGGAAGACGACTCCTTTTCTGGGTCGTGTAGCCCAAAGAATGCAAATTCTAGTCTAGTCAGCTTGTATGAAGTTGAACATAACAGCAAGCGTTTCATGCATACTTTGTACTCACTTGACGACAATGACTCCACCCCTGGTTGGCAGAACAGCATGTTGCGCAGGCGATGACATACGGACGGCTGGATCTCCAGATTAGCAACACTAAAACGAATGATTTGCAATATAAAATCCGTCATATGATAGGTCATATTCACGCAAATTAGTAGATTATTTTGATTAAATTTTCAATATTCTCTTCTATTTGTCTGTGACAAACATCATTTCTCAATTGCGTTACTGTCCATTATTGGTAGTTGAAAGACAGAAAATCCAAATTATATGGAAACGTAATTTTTTGTCTCCTGATAGTTCTTGATGACTATTGAACCACCAATAAGATTCGGAATGTATTTACACGAGTCCTGAAATGCTCCTATGGAAAGTATCAATGAGGCGAAAGAAAAAACCCTTTTGGAAATAATGAGGCCCAGGCGAAATTGAACGCTTGCCTTGGAGATTGCTTTTGAGATACAAGCGCAGTGTAATTCATTTGTTGGTGATAGATTTTCTCTTATAAACCGAGAACTCTAAAAAAACCATAAAAACTAATTACCATGATTAATACACATTTTTGTAGCTGCAACTATTTTTACTCAACGGTATATTTAGTTTTTCTTATTCTTACTCATCCCACATGTGGCCCAACTAAGTCCAGATTCTTGTATCTATCGGATATCAGGAAGACCTCAACCATCTTCCGACTCTCAGGAGTTGTGTCGGGAAATCGAGGCTACGTGTTTACTAGCGAGATAGTTCAGCTCGCTGATCCAATTATCTAGTAAATAGCAACCGTGATAAGTTGTCGTTAAATGACTGACTGGATCTGTTAGCGTTGAGCTCACTTCCATTTTCAGTTAGTGTAATGAAAAGATTCGTAGATCCATCAAACTAAAAGAGGACGGCAGATCAACCGTAGCCAGCGGCCGTTTGACTTTACCTAAATGTTTTGGCGCTATCACTGCCGAATTCGTACGCGTATGCATACCTAAATTCACACACATGCACACATGATTCTAGGTTTGTAAATGAGCTGAACTAACCAAATCAAAATACCTTGCAAGATATACATAGGGCCACATTATATAAACTAAGCATTTATGGACCAGTCAGAAAATTTTATTAATTGTTGAGCATAAATTATTTGTAAGAGTGACATTCAACTCTAATTATCGCCATCGTGTGCCATCACAGATAAAAACTTATCATCATAGTTTGATCATAAATAGGATGAGCGAGGTGGTTTCAGTCTTCCTTCGCTGTATGAAAATGGTCTGATACTATTTTCATAGTTTTATCATGCTTCTTTATCAGCGTATTTCACTCATGTTATTTATAATTATTTTAGAGGAGTTGGTACCTTCTAGGATCGGCATCTAAGCGGAATACATCAGAGAGTCTTGCTATTTTTAGCGCAAAGTCAAAACTCGTCAGGGACAAGTAAAATTCATTCCTTCCCCAAATTTCTCCTAAACGGTTGTGACCTTACTCCTCTTGTTCCTGTACCAGATCCTCATATTTATATGGCTCGCTATCACACTTTTTAATTTTTCTATCATAACCTATTCTTGAAGTACTCCATTTTAAGAAGATTACAATTAGTTCCAAGGAACACAAGAATGAGAGCTATCGAAACCGTTCAGCAAGAATTTGGTCAAGGAAAAGACTTTACTTGTATCTGATTAGTTGTTGTTTAATTTCAAGAGTGGCAGGGCTTAATGACGATTCACGCAAAACGTTTACAAATGTATCAGGTACTTTATTCGACGTTGGAATTTATCAGACTACAACAAGAGAGAGGTTCGTTCCACGACGTCTTTGTGATAACACGAAAAATTTGATAAAAAATGGTCTTACAAATTCTGAAGCTAAAGTATATTGTCTCGTATAATTCGCAAACCAGAACGTTCCTGGTCAAGAGGAGTTCATTGAGATCGATCTACGCAAATCCCTTCAGCATTGACTTTTAATCGAACTGGATGTGAGCCCAGCACCATCTCGTATATAAGTGTCACCCGCATGTTGCATGTCAAAAAGGTTTAGTTGATACTGGTTTTAGATCCCATGTAAATAGGCTTAAGGTATACACATCCTCGGCTTGCAATAATCGTTCTCATCTAGACTTAAAAAGTATTATTCAACTGAATTGCTCAATCATCCCTCTATTATCTAAAACCTAAGCCACACATAAATTTGTATAGAGACTCCATATCAAAAGGATCATTTTCGTGGTGCCTTCTGCCAATATGAGAGCTATTCACCTTATTTCGTTTAAGGTGATAAAAGATTGGTAGTAGAATTTCCCCACAATGATATGAGTTGAGCTGATGTTTCCATTGAATTTCACATTGCCTTGCTTTCCCAAAAGTTGTTCTCGTCCAGGCACCAGTGGGCTGCAGTTTTGATCTCTCATCGGTCTTATCCACACCTCCATCGGGAGTCGAAACGTGACAGTACATAATGGGAGCTTGGCACGTTAACCACTCGGCCACATTGTCACGAGTGCCCTTGGATCACAGGGCATATGTGAATTTCAAGGAAGCTCAGGCCTTTTGCCATATCATATTCTTTTGGGAAAGCAAGGCAATTTAAAATTAATAGAAACGTCAGCTCTACTCATATCATTGTGGGAAAATTCTATCACCAGTCCTTCATCACCTTAAACGAAATAGGGTGAATACCTCTCATATTACTGAATTACTGGTAGTCTCGAAACTACTCTTCTGTTAATGCCTGTCTTCGCGAGTAAAGCCAATCAGATATTACACACTTGGCTGCTCCGGTTCAACAAACTAGGGAGCCTAAATAAACCATCCAAACTTTCAATCCATAGACAGATCGCATACTTCGTTTGTAATGGTGAGAATTTGTGTATAAACTATTATGCTAGATTGAAATATTCGCGCTATGTGTCTAGAAGATATTGGATTCTTCTTTTGGCTGGCATAGATGGACAGATGTAAGCTAAATATAAATTGAGCAAAACGGAATTTAACAGTAGTCCAGCTTGATTTCAAGGGGTCAGTAAATGATATTAAGGATGAATTGAAGCTTTTGTACTTGAAAATATGGTGAATATTAATTAATTCGGGCTATTTGTCAAGTATGTACAAGAATGGAAAACATTACAATCGCCTCATTAATAATGGGAGACATATAATTCGTGTTCATCTCGAGTTCATACTGATAACATAGACACGAATTTGAATATTTAAACAGTAAATTGCCTTCAAGTCAGTTAAGACATACTCATTTAACGGCTTTTCTGGGTTTATTTCTTGCATTTCTTGATCAATACTATTCAGGAATTGTATCAGATCATTGTTAGCTTCTGTGGCCACAGATGATCCTTTGCCAAGAGGCATGCCCATCCTTTTGGGGAAGGTGTTCTCGTCCAGAAATACACATCGATAACTGATTTCCAAGTTGTAGTCGAGAATGTCAGACGTCTGGAAATCCTCATCATCGTCTCCGAAAGGGTTCATAACACATAAGGCGACCTAAAATTATGAAAATATCTCAATCGTGCAAATCATATCATAGAATCATGAAATTGGAAAATTACAAGAGGAGGACAACAGAAATTCCACCCACAAATTTAAGCAAACCTTAACGCCTGTTTCAAGCTTGGGCACTCATTGGATTCTTGAGTGGTTTCGTACATAAATTGTATTCAGTCATACGTCAGTAAGTTTTAAGTGGGCAAATTCCAGTTACAGCATAAGAAAGAAAGAAAATCAGTCAATTATTTATTTTAACTCAATAAAGTCGGTTGAGGTCGAAATTTAACCTTCATTCCACAAGAATAAATATACAGGAATGGTTCAGAGACCGTTAAAACTAGTAAAATTAAATTAATAAAGGTTTAAAATAAGGACTTTGGGATTTTTCTTGCCCTGATGGTGTCTGCCACATGATATACAATAGCTTTTGGGGTTTCATCGGAGTCACAGGACGAAGACTTTTTCCTATAACTCAACAGTCCTCAATTCGGTTTCGGGCTAGACCAATTCATGAATTTCTCATAATAATCTTTTCTTTCGTAATGGAACGTTGTGTCATTAAGAGATTCTTCGAAGCCCAGCCTTTTTTCATAGATGAGGAGTATTTCCTAACGCCATAAGAGAGCAATAATTCATTTTACCACACAATTTCAAACGAAAATAAAGCGAGCTAACAAATCCTGTTTTCAGAAATATCAATTTTAGGATCCCTCATATTCAGCATTTCATACTAGATGAATGTTGTGTTCGACCTATTTCGTTTAAGCTGATGAAGGACTTCTAGTTGAGTTTTCACACAATGATATGAGGCTGACGCTTCCATTGCTTTCCCAAAAGGTGTTTTCATCCAGGCACCAGTGGACTGCAGTTTCGACCTCGCATCGATCTTATAAACTCTCTAAGCGGAAGTCGACTCCTGAAAGTACAGAGTGTAAGCCCTTGGATCACAGGGTAGATGTGAACTTCAAGGAAGGTCAGGCACTATCCATATCACATTCTGTGTTGGATTGTCAATTAAGCAATTTTATATTTGCTTTAACTCATATATATGATCTATTGGTAGTCTATAAAACCTATTTATTTACGAAAATAAACAAAATTTACCAAGGAATGCATACATTTAGCTGAAATTCGGAATCCAGAAAATGCTTTTTATTTCAAATGTATAAAATGGAACTGAAGTATTTGTAGAATTCCCTATCCTTATACTTCGAGATCTATTCAGATACATTCTAATCTGGCATCCTGTATGATTTATTATGCTAGTGACCGTCATAAATGAGTACACGCTGCCTTTAATTGGGTTTAAGATAATACTCAATAATACAGAGTTTCT